TGTGTGTGGATGCGTGTGTGTGTGTGTGTGTGTGTGTGTTTGTGAGTGTGTGTTTATGTATGTTTGTGCATGTGTGTATGTGTGTGTGTGTGTGTGTTTGTGAGTGTGTGTTTATGTATGTTTGTGCATGTGTGTATGTGTGTGTGTGTTTATGTTTGTGTGTACTGTATAATAATATGTCCTCTTATAGTTACTTATAAAGGCTTCTAAATCGTCTGTTAACGGTACATTATTCTGTTTGTCAGTGGTACTTTCATATCTTTTTAACTGAATTTTGTTGGTCAGCTCTTCAGATTTATTGGGTATTTTAGAAATAAGAGGACCCAATGTAAGGGGAATAATTCGGTCATCGTTTGACGTATTTAAAACATAACTTTTACGAAAAATAATGCAACCGAGATGACACTGCATCTGTCATTAAGAACAAAATCAACAGCAATATTAAAAGGTATCACATGTTTTACATTCTAATTTCAATCAGTAATAAGTGAAACACAAAACTTTGCAATATAAAAAAAATCAACCATACTGTTCTATTTCAAATAGTCACTGTTTTGTGCATTTACGAGCAAATTTATACAAAATATCATATTGCCAAATATAAACATGTATTTGATAAGTAACGGAATCTCTAGTTGTTGATTATTTTTCTACATACAAGATTCAATAAGCTACTGGTAATATTGAACAAAACCACGGCAGGTTTTTGTGGTCAATGTTTTTGGACGTCCTGTTCAACATTGAGTTTCAACTGTCTGATCGTTTGTGGAATTTTTCCACAGACTTTGTCCGTCAAAAAAAACCACCCCAAAATAAACGAACTGACCCAAAGATAATAACTGAAAGGGCAAGAATTTGATGAAATGTTGTGGCCAATAATTTTAAACTTTCGTCTTGTAAGGCTTTCTCTAAACTGTTCTTGTAACCACACAACGGCCAACATAACAACACCTTTTCCTCCCCAATTTTCTTCCAAACTTTGTCAGCCCTTTGATATATCCATCTGATGTGACTGCCGTGTTTTTACCGTTCTTGATCTGAAACTAGAACGGCTTGTCCATGCACCTGTAGTTCAACGCTTTTGATAAGTGAAATTCTGCCTTTTACTCTGCTTTGGTATTAATGTTATAAATTTGATACCTCTCAAAGACAGTGATGGATATTTTTCAGATTTACAAACTTAATGTCCTAATGGCTGATTTTTTTATTTTTTTTGGTAGTTTAATGTGTTCGAAGTTTTGTTATGACTAGACTAAGTGTACTGATGACACAGTCATTGTTCTTTAAGTGTCTTCTTTTTATACACCATATACTTTTAGTCCAAAATGTTGAATTGGATATTTTATTTCAGCTTCTTAACTAATATTTAGTATAAAGGGAATGAATTCAAAAATTTAGATTCTAAATAAAATTCATGAAAAGACACAGATACGTTGTAGAGTAGTTAATTATTCTTAGAAGATATATTTATGATCTTGTTTTATTTTCTAAATGAAAAAAAAAATGAAGCATCCTACACCTAGCCTGAAAAATTGTCTTCCCAGGCTTAGAACAATTCAACGGCAGGGGACAATATTTTTCTAATGAGTTGGCTCTATTAGGAATGGTCATAAGCCAAAGAGGCACACCTTCTGTAAAACGTAGGCTGTGTTGATAGAGTGGTGGTTTTGGGGAAAGAGGTTGTATGTATGTGTGTCTGTGTGTATATGTGTGTATGTGTGTGTGTCTGTATGTGTGTGTGTGTGTGTGTGTGTGTGTGTGTGTGTGTGTGTGTGTGAGGGGGGGGGGGAGGTACTGGGGGGAGGGGCTAGGGGGGAGAGGTGGACTTGGATGTGTAATATATTACAACAATAATCATTATCATGTTATATTTATCGATGAACTAAAGAGGCCTTGTTATTCCATACTCAAAAGGTTCGTCGATGGTTTGGTAGACAACAACTGTATTTTCGACTATCTACGAGCCTGGGAACAAGCCTTGGCCGACCATCCTGAGATGGATATTTGTTTCTTGTGTTACGAAGATCTCCACGTGAGTCAAAAATCAAACAAATAAAAAACTGTCTAAGATAGCCATCCATTGGATAGGACAAAATTGATTGTGTGACATGTGAACGTCTTGAACAGTGTCAGTAATATATGTGAGGCGTGATGACAAAAGTACATACTACTCGCAATCTACAAATTAAATGGAGATAATGACCAAAAATCGACATAAGGGTCAAATTTGTAGAATTTTTCTTGATCCCATATTCTTTAACTATAAATTTATTTTTATTATTTCATTCTATTAAATTTTAAAAATCTTTACCTTAAAGCATGATAGGCCAATATTTGTTTCCATAAGGCTTATATCCGAGAAGTAACTAATTTTGTCAGCGCACTTTACATATTATATAAAAACAAACAAGAGGCGTGTGGAGGAGAAGGGATGGGTAGATGCCATTTATACAGGTGACCGTCATAGACAGGTGGCCTTTAGAAGAAATTCGCAAGTACTTGAAGTTTGAGAGTGAAATATGAGGAAAAAGTAACAAGTATATCGTCTTTACTTTCGACAGATAAAAATATAACAAACAGAAAAAGACAGAAATGAAGAAAGTTGCGTCCACAAGTGGTAACTTTTTTTTTTTTTAACACAACCTCCTTTATTCCTTCCAGTCAAATAAATCATTAGAATATATTAAATGACCGAATCAATTTAAAGTCAACCACAAATATCCTCTTTCTCTCTCTTTCTTCCTCTCCTTTTCCCCTGTATCTCCCTCTCTCTCCCCCAGGAGAACACGTTAGCAGAAGTGAAGCGACTGTCCAAGTTCCTGGGCAAGGACTATGACGACGAGTTCCTCCAGGCAGTCATCAAAGCCGCCAGTTTTGACAACATGAAGAAAGAGAAGATGAGCACCTTTCAAGACGATGGAGGACACATCATGTACAGAAAAGGTAATCAACACAGTTAAAAGGCCTTGTGACATTTGCACTTGCAATGGCAAACGTCTTTTAAATATAAATACATTCATACTCATCTGAAATGGTAATTTTCACATTTGAACGCACAATGTACAGATTTGCACTGTAATAATAATAATAATAATAATAATAATAATAATAATAATAATAATAATAAATAGCATTTGTATAGCGCATGTCCCCACTCGAAAGCAAGCTCTATGCGCTTTACACTCTATTATTACGCCCAGCAGACCACAGAACACTCAGAAACATTCTCAGTTTCCCCGGAAGCATACTTTCTTCTATGTTCATATTTGAAATTGCATGTCACATTTGGTCCTTCTATGTTATATTTCACCTACCTGTATCAAATTTTAACTTGGTTCGCCCACGTTTGAAGAGACAATACTATACTATAATATTAGGTGTATCAAAGTTTAAATATTTTTATTCAAATATTTTTTCCTGATTCCTCAGGTAAAGTCGGAGACTGGAAAAACAACTTCACCGTGGCTCAGAGCGAATGGTTCGACCACATCACCAGGAGCAGGATGTTGGGTTCCAAACTGTTCAAGTTCAGATATGACCTCTGATCTCGACCTCAGTGATCTCTGTTTTGACCTTCGTTCGTTCATTCGACAGTTGACTATTTGTCTTTGGGCAGCATTAGTTGCCGCGACTGGCTCTTTTGTTATCTTTGTTGTTGTTGTTGTTGTTGTTGTTGTTGTTTCATAATACTTTCTAGAAACAAGAATAATTAGTTTTAGACACACACTCACTAACATATTTCCAAATTAAAAACAAATGATGTAATCATAATCTAATACTGCCCAGTATGGATGCCATGGTCATCAAACCCAACTAAAATGGACATGATATAATTTGTTCGCTGAGAGAATGCCATTCCAGAACTTGTTTCTCCCTACGACGTTCGTTCAAAAAGCCACAGAACCCACAGTTATCTTTGGCTGGAGCAGAGAGGCTTTACTACGTGCGATACTGGCAAAGAAAGAAAAAGTGATAGTGAGAGAGCGAAACTGAGAGAGAGAGAGAGAGAGAGAGAGAGAGAGAGAGAGAGAGAGAGAGAGAGAGAGAGAGAGAGAGAGAGAGAATAGGTACAACACACTCACGGTATAAGAAAAAGTCATCTTTACAACGGAATCTATAAAATAATTACCACTATTTCTTGTGACCCCTCCCCCAAGGGTTGTATAACCCTCATCCCCCACCCAAACACCCCAATCAAACCCCCAACTCCCGAATTGAACCCCCCAATTCCCCACAACTCTAATCGGAGCTAATTGTCTTTCGAAACTGCTTTAAATTTTAGTATAAAGTATTATCATCCACAAGTTATCGTTGCGAGAGATCTAATTATTCTAATACTATATCGTATCATGTTCTGTGCCAGAGTCTTTCAACACAGAGCGTAGAAATAAAACACTTATAATACAAATATCACGAGTAGTTGTAGCGAAGCAGATTTATTAATATATTCCATTATATGAGATTATTAGTAAACAAAGAAAAGTATCATGCGTGTCCGAAGCTTTATTATTTTTCTACCAACTTGATACACATCTAGCACTTTCAAATGCCACCTTGACCTTGACCTTGACCATCAATGCTTTATTAATAGAGGCAATATCCATTCATGTCCAGGTGCTGTTTTAGCCTCTTTTTCCTGTCTGCGGAATAATATTCTTTTTTTTTCTCCAATTTATTGGTTCCGCTTCCATGAACCCCGTATCTATTTCAAATGCCACATTGTAACTTAAATTGTCACATCGTAACATGAAATATCACATTCATTACAATTCAAAAAGTCACGCTGTAACCTAAAATTTAAACATTTTGAGAGTTTAAATGTGAATCTAACATGCGTACATAGACACACATAAGCATAGCCGTTAAGAAGAAATAAACCCACTATTTTGATTTCTTTCAAATGCAGTCTCTTAATCTGTAGTATCGGCTGTGTGTGTGCCCGGAAAAGCTTACAACTTGAAGGTCACTAAAAAAAAAAAAAAAAATTTTAATACTCACAAATAACACAAATGTAGCATCACCTAAAAGGATAGGTGGTTAGGGGCAAAACTGGAGGAAGGCTGGTAGTTAATGTTAAGCAAATGCTAATAAGGCCTTCTCTTGAAAATAATACATGGACATATCTCCAACTGTCAAACAAGCAAGCAATATGTTATAGGCCTATGTTCCTCAAGCGTGTGGAAATATTTTAAAGGTCTGGACCTCTACATTTTAATCTACTTTTAAGTTTGTCTTCCAAAGTAAGATTCAATAAGATGATCTCACGAAAAAAGAGTTTACAAGAAAACAAGAGGTTTTTCAGGAACAATTGTGAAGTTACAATTATTATGATGTTTTAACATTAAACATTAAACAACATCCCCATTTGAAATTGAAAAGTACACGCACATGCTGTCACAATGAAAAGCGTCCTATTGTACATTTTAATTTCAAATGTAGTACTTTAATTTTCACTGTTGCTCGTCAAGTTACAATGAAGCATTTGAAACCATTTGATGTGTATTTAACCAGTGAAAAAACCCACTCATTGTATGTCAACAAATTTGTATTGCTACAATAAGATACTATATGAACAATATATTTGTGTCACGAAGCGAAGGAATCAAGCACTCGTCAATTTTTTAACATAAGGCGTTACTTGTATCATCTTAAAGCTTGTTTATTTGTCTTGCTCTCAGAGAAGGAAATTAACAATCTATCTTCCACAGAAGTCGAGATATTTGCAATGGACGGGAGTGGGGGTAGCCTGGTTTTAGAGGTAAAAATAGAGAGAAAATAGCAACCAAAGTTTGATGAATTCTATAGCCGGAGAGCACTGGAAACTGAACATGTACATTTTGTTCTCCTTTTGTCAATGTTTTTCAGTAAACCCACACGTATATATGTGTTTAAAATGGACATAGAAGATGTTGAGCCCTAGAAAAATATTTCCAAACTGGTCTTTAAAAAAAGCATATTTCTCGGATTTCATTATTTTGATGAGCGCCTGATTTCTCCACGATGCCCCACATACTAACAATGTATTTTGATTCAATCAAGTCATGGTTTTAACATCCACGCAGGTGCATGCGTTTTACCAACATCGATATACATGTGTTCAATTTAATAGATTATTGCCGCGTCACAACACTTGTCATATGTACACTGTCTCCCCCCCCTCTCTCTCTCTCTCTCTCTCTCTCTCTCTCTCTCTCTCTCTCTCTCTCTCTCTCTCTCTCTCTCTCTTTCTCTCTCTCTCTCATTCTCTATCTCTATCTCTAGAGCTATGTACCTATAAAAACAAAGAAAGAAAAATATAAAAGTTGTTGGTTTTTTTACCATCTAGCGTAAGGGTTAGAATAAGCATTATTACGTGTATTGCTCTTTCGAGTATGTATCTATAAAACTCTGAAGGCCTTTTAATCAAATTCTTGCTTGTGATTGAATTATGCATCTGATGTGATATGTAGATTTTATCAGCTTTACTTTTCTTTTCATATTGAATGTTAAAGAGAGTAATATGTCATTTAAACCTTTTATGTATACCTGCATGTTTTTACGGTCCTGTACAGCCATGAAAATGTTACCTTTAGTATAATAAAGTGTTACCCTATCTTATCCCATCCTATCTTATCGTATCGTATCGTATCGTATCTTATCTTATTATATTTTATCTGATCTTATTTTATCTTATCTTATCTCTCTCTATTCTTGAACCTTCCATTTCACACTCAGTAAATCACTCTTACAATTACAACACAACTAGTGTAACCATACATGTGAAGTGGGGTTGTCATGTGAGCATGTTATACCAAATGTAAGAATTTTACTCATACAAAACCTTAAAAGGTCGCTTTTAAGGACAAGCGGGCTAACCCAGATTTCGGAGGTTTCCTAAAATCTTGATCTACACATAAAGTGGGCATTGCCCTACTTAGAGGAGAAGTTTCAATGGTGTGCATATTTGTTTGGTTATAGAGAAAACTCTCCTTGTCTCTTAAAGAAACTGGATAAGGGTCCAAAAACTTTAACTTCGATTTTCTCAAAACAGCATTTTTCGGGATAGCCCTTAAAAGCGACCAAATGTATTGGAAACAATGAGCTTGCTTTGACATGCACGTCTCAGATTGGTTTGGTTTAGTTGCCAGGTAAATACAAGGTAGATTGTTTCGATATACTACTATAAATTTCGGATTCTTTGGAGCTGTTGTCACATGAAAACCAAGGTTTTTAACAACGATCCCTTTAGAGCATTAACTTGTTACTGTTAATGTCCTTGGTAACTCCAACAGATAAAGAGTCCTTGAAAACAGAAAAATGACATATTATGTGCTGTTAATCAATGTTTTTCAGTAAAAGTCACTTGTAAATGTGTTTTATACGGACAGAAATTGAGCTAAAAAAACACAAATTTGATAGAAATTTCCAAACTCGCTAAAAAATGCCTCTTTCTTCAATTTCTATATTTTGACAAGCGCCTGATTTCACAACGCCTCCTCACAAATGTATTAAGTAATTAAGTTTGCGAAATGATGCGCACTGGGCTACTGGAAAGTCTTATTGCTGTTCGGAAAGCCGAAGTGTGATAAATGTTAGTTTAGTTGGTGTTCGACGATATCAGTGAATCCGCCAATTTTAAAATCTTCCAGAATTGCTAAGAGCATACTCGTAGGGTGTTCTATTTATTGCGACGTATTATTGTCTCACCAATTGTAATAACGGTAGAGAATATCATAATTAGAGAACAATAAGTTATGCCCTAAGTGGGCGCATACACAGCTAGAATCCGAACAGTTTTGAAAATAATGTTATTGATAGATAGATAGATAGATAGATAGATAGATAGAAAGAAAGATAGATAGATAGATAGATAGATAGATAGATAGATAGATAGATAGATAGATAGACCAAGATAGGCAGTCACTTGCAGACAGGTAGACAGATGTATGAATAGGGTGAGAGGTGTGAGGAAGATGAAGAGCCCGACACAATTATGCTTATTATAATACAAAAAGAGACAAATAGAACAATTGAAGAAAAGAAACAGATTCTTTTGAGGATGTTGTTGTATTCCCATTTTTTTATTGACACAGTAATATAAAAAAAATCGATTGTCCATTCTCTAACCCTGCATAATAATTCTGAACAGGGCTTATCCTTTATCGCTGTGTCGTTTAACCGACAACTTAGAAAGTATTTGTCGAATTTAGTTAGTATCACAACTAAGAGATTCTCCTTTCTTTCTGAAACACAATGTCTTACCAGGGTAGCTCTTCTGGATACATTAAAAATTTATCTTGCGATTATTTGAAATATGCACATATTCCAATTTAGTCAGTTTGTCAAAATGAAAATATCGGATTCGGATAATTATGTCGACAATTCCAAATAATGGCAGATGGGGTTTTTTTGTCCTTTTGTTTTTGTTTTGTTTCTGGGTTGTTGTTGTTGGGGTTTTTTTGGGGGGATTACTTTGTGTTTTTGGGGAATTTTTTTTTTTTTTTTAAATTTTTTTTTTTGTTGTCATTACCAAGGCTCGGCTATACCGTTTAGTTATCAAGTTATCCAAATTCTACCAGATTCGGGTGATTTCGTTATACGCTGGGTGCCGCCGCTGCGCGATCCGGTGATCCGGCATCCTGGAATCAGTCGTGCTTTCGAAGGTTCCAATCTGCTCCGGACATTGGCGGTCAAGATCCTTTGGTAGCACTGGGAGAGACGCTGGTCTAAAAGGAGGGGGGGGGGAGTTTCATGACGCATTTAGGAAATGGTGGAAACGATTACCAAACACACCATCCAACACAACGTGCCTACATCAAAAACTTCGAAGGCAACAAGGCTAGAGGGCGACCGAGAAAGACCTGGATAGATGGAGTCAGGGAAACATTGTCCACCCACGGCATCCCCTGACCCAAGCTCTCCGGCTGGCGACAGAGAGACGTCTCTTTCTTCCCGCGACACCCAAAAGGGTATAAGGGGCGGATAAAAGTTTTAAAAAATAAGTGG